GTGTATGGGCGGCGTGATGTGGGTGTGGCGGGGTATGTGGTTGGTGGTGTGTGGGTCGGTATGTGGTTGGTGGTGTGTATGGGCGGCGTGATGTGTGGTGGCGGGTATGTGGTTGGTTGTATGTGTGGGCGGATGTGTGGGTGGGGGGTATGTGGTTGGTTGTATGTGTGGGTGGTGTATGGGTGGCGGGGTATGTGGTTGGTGGTGTGGGTGGTGGGGTATGTGGTTGGTGGTGTGTATAGGCGTGATGTGTGGGTGGCGGGGTATGGTTGGTTGTATGTGTGGGTGGCGTGATGTGGGTGGCGGGGTATGTGGGGTGTGAGGTGGTGGGGTATGTGGTTGGTGGTGTATGGGCGGCGGAGGGGTGGTGGGTATGTGGTTGGTTGTATGTGTGGGTGGCGTGATGTGTGGGTGGCGGATGTGGTTGGTGTTGTGTATGGGCGGCGTGATGTGGGTGGCGGGGTATGTGGTTGGTGGTGTGGGGGGGTATGTGGTTGTGGTGTATGGGCGGCGTGATGTGGGTGGCGGGGTATGTGGTTGGTTGTATGTGTGGGTGGCGTGATGTGGTGGCGGGGTATGGTTGGTGGTGGAGTGGGTGGTGTATGTGGTTGGTGGTGTGGGGCGGTGGATGTGGTGGCGGTATTTGGTTGGTGGTGTGTATGGGCGGTGTGATGTGGGTGGTGGGTATGTGGTTGGTGGTGTGTATGGGCGGTGTGATGTGTGGGTGGTGGGGTATGGGTTGGTGTTGTGTGGGGCGTGATGTGTGGGTGGTGGGTATGTGGTTGGTGGTGTGTATGGGCGGTGTGATGTGGGTGGCTGGGTATGTGGTTGGTGATGTGTGTGTGGGTGGGTGGCGGGGTATGAGGTTGAGGTGTGTATGGGCGGTGTGATGTGGGTGGCGGGTATGTGGTTGGTGGTGTGTGTGTGTGGTGGGGTATGTGGTTGGTGGTGTGTATGGGCGGCGGATGTGTGGGTGGCGTGATGTGTGGGTGGCGGGGTATGTGGTTGGTGGTGTGTGGTGGTGGGGTATGTGGTTGGTGGTGTGTATGGGCGGCGGATGTGGGGGGTTGGTTGGTGGTGTGTGGGTGGCGTAGGGGGTGCGGTATGTGGTTGGTGGTGTGTGTGGGTGGCGGGTATGTGTGGTGGTGTGTAGGCGGCGGATGTGGGTGGCGGGGATGTGGTTGGTGGTGTGGGTGGTGGGGTATGTGGTTGGTGGTGTGTATGGGCGGCGTGATGTGTGGGTGGTGGGGTATGTGGTTGGTGGTGTGTGGGTGGCGTGATGTGGGTGGCGGGTATGTGGTTGGTGTGTGGGTGGCGTATGTGGTTGGTGGTGTGGCGGCGGATGTGTGGTGGTGGGGAATGTGATTGGTGGTGTGTGTGGGTGGGGTTATGGGTTGGTGGTGGGGCGGCGTGATGTGTGGGTGGCGGTATTTGTGGTGGTATGGTGTGATGTGGGTGGTGGGTATGTGGTTGGGGTGTATGGGCGGTGATGTGGGTGGCGGGTATTTGGTTGGTGGTGTTTATGGCGGCGTGATGTGTGGGTGGTGGGGTATGTGGTTGGTGGTGTGGGGCGGTGTGATGTGTGGTGGTGGGTATGTGGTTGGTGGTGTGTGTGTGCGGCGGATGTGTGGCGGCGCGTAGTTGTGGAGTGTTGGGGTGTCTGGGCGGCGGGGTGTGGGTCTCGGAGGTAGCGACCTGACCCGGGTTCTCCACTTCGGCATAATATAATCAATAACACTTTTATAGAAATAATTGTTGGTAGTCACGCCCACCACCTTGCCGTTCACTGCTCCACCCACCACCCTGCCGCTTACTGCTCCACCCACCACCCTACTGCTCCACCCACCAATAATTACCTAATTCCACCACCCTGCCGCTCATTGCCTCCACCTCCTCCACCCTACTGCTCCACCCACCACCCTCATTGCTCCACCCACCTCACCCTATTGCTCCACCCACCACCCTACTGCTCCACCCACCACCTCTTCCGATTCCACCAACCACCCCACTGCTCCACCCACCACCCTGCCGCCTACATTGCACCCACCCACCACCCTCACTGCCTCCACCCACCACCCACTGCCCCACCCTCCACCCCACTGCTCACCCTCCACCCCACTGCTCCACCCACCACCCCATTGCTCCACCCACCACCTTCACTGCTCCACCCACCACCCTGCCGCTACTGCTCCACCCTTCACCCTCCACCCCATTCGCTCCACCCACCACCTCACTGCTCCACACCCACCACCCCTGCCGCTTACTGCCCACCCCTCCACCCTCCAATCTCACTGCTCCAATTCCACCACCCTACTGCTCCACCCACCACCCCACTGCTCCACCCACCCACCCGCCCACCACCCCTGCCGCCCACCAATCTCCGCCACCCACTCATATAGTGTGTAGTGTATGTTTCCTGTATGTTGCTTCACCATTCATGTTATCATCATTACCTACTGTCATGCCGAGAAAAAACGACTAGAAAAGTGAAAATAATTATACCAGTCCTTCCGTATCATGCGTGTGTATGTGTGAGTGTATGTATGTAGGTGTGTGATACTAATTCTAATAAATAACTATTTTTATTACCTCGAATTAGACCATTGGACATGAGATGACAATGTACAGGACAATATAATACAAGTTACAGGTATACAGGTGTATTATTACACTACATAATCACCTGTAACACAAACTAGTGTGGTGAAGGTAATGGTGACGCACCATCCAGAGAACATCTGTGCAGTGACTAGAACAAGACGGACTCATTAGTTACATCACCAAGCAGCAACGTGAACCTGGTCACTATAGTTCATTAAGGAAGTGTTGTGTTTATAAGTGGTGTTGTTTACACCCGTGGTTGTAACTACCACCAAGGTGTTACCTGTTGTTTACACCTGTGGCTGTGACTACCACCAAGGTGTTACGTGTTATTTACACCTGTGGCTGTGACTACCACGTGTTGTTTACACCTGTGGCTGTGACTACCACCAAGGTGTTACGTGTTATTTACACCTGTGGCTGTGACTACCACGTGTTGTTTACACCTGTGGCTGTGACTACCACGTGTTGTTTACACCCGTGGCTGTGACTACCACGTGTTGTTTACACCTGTGGCTGTGACTACCACGTGTTGTTTACACCCGTGGCTGTGACTACCACCAAACCCTTAAGGACAGGTGCTCATGTTCAGTGTTTCTTCTTGAATAATGGACATAAACTCATCAAGGTGTGGCGTGGAGAAGGGAACATATATGACAGGTTAAGAATACTAAATTGTTACTCTCTCTCTCTCTCTCTCTCTCTCTCTCTCTCTCTCTCTCTCTCTCTCTCTCTCTCTCTCTCTCTCTCTCTCTCTCTGCAATTTTTCATGTTAGATTTTGATTTTGATGATACAATTATTTTTTTATTATTTGTGGAAGGCGAGAAACGTCATCACATCTTAATCAGGTAAACCAAAACACAACAGCTGACCCCTGTGCCTGGGGAGGAGGAGGGGGGTAGAGGGAAAGGAGGAGACGGGGGGGAGAGAAATGGAAGAGGGAGGGATGGGTGAAGGTAAGGAGATGGAAGAGGGAGGTAGAAGAAGGACGCAGTGAAATGGAGAAGTGGGAGAGGGAGGGTTGATCGGAGAAGGGAGGGAAGAAAGGAGAGATGAAAGAAGAGAGTAAGAAATAAAGGAAGGAAACGGAAAGGTGGAGGAGAAAGGGATGCGGTAGGTGAGTCACACACACACACACACACACACACACACACACACACACACACACACACACAGATATTCCTCCACTTCTTAGTTATCTCACTAATATCCTTATCCTCCTCTTCACTTCTAATTCTTCTCTCTCTCTCTCTCCATTCATTCGAAATCTATCTATCTATCTATCTATCTATCTATCTATCTATCTATCTATCTATCTATCTATCTATCTATCTATCTATCTATCTATCTATCTATCTGTCTGTCTGTCTGTCTGTCTGTCTGTCTGTCTGTCTGTCTGGCTCTGTCTCTGTCTGTCTGTCCCTAATAATAATAATAATAATTAACGGTTTATTGAAAGAGCATGGCAGCCCGAAGGCTGAAAATATACAGTTACATAATTGGTGAATGGGTCTCTTGATTGACAAATAATATACAAGTAACATAAGTGATACAAATATGATATATAATAACTAGGTGGGGAGAAGGTCATACTACAGGACATTTCAATATAGTAACAGTGTAAAACGGTAAGATTGACTGACAGGGAGTGAATACACTGGTTGATTACAAGTTATTGATAATTTTTACAATGGTTGGGACTGGGCTGTTCTTATTGAGATCAGTTCTTGCTCGTATGGGCTGGATGCGGTTGTGGCGTCGAACAACAATTCTCGAACGAGGGATCTCCGGTGGTAGTAGGAGCCGGTGTCGAGGATGGTGCAGAACCTTCTCACCAAATTTGCAGATGAGGTCGTGGTGATGGTCAAAGAGAGCCGAGAGGGTCAGTGTGTTGAGCACTTCGTGATATATGGAGTAGGAAGGAGAGAGAATAATCTTGCATGCCCTCTTTTGCACTCTTTTCTAGGTGTTTACGCTATGTGGCATTGGGGAGGAAGACCAGGCAGGGGAGGCATAGGTGAGCTTGGGAAGCATGAATGTTAAGTAAACACTGAGGAGCTCGGGCGCGGGAACTCCGAGGGACTTGAGTCTGTCTCTGTCTGTCTGTCTGGGGATGTTTGGGGAGTAGATAATGGGGGGATGGGAACGGATGAGGGAGGAAATGGTTTGGGATGGAGAAGGAAGAAGTGTGTGAGAGGGAATATGGAGAGTGATGGGTAGAAAAGGGTTCAGGACGGGGGAGGGGTATGGATGTGGGGATATATATATAGGAAAGGGTTAAGGGAGAGGGTGTTTGTGGGAGGTATAGGGGAAGGGTGGGAGGGGTAGTAGTTCCACTAATCAGGCGCAGTGAAGCGAATGACTATCAATCTAGATTAAATACTCCTTGAGTGTGTGATTACCGGCGAATAACCAATCTTTTTGAGGGGGCAACAAACACGTGTGGTGCGGAGGCACACATGTGGTGCTGGGAGACACATGTGGTGCTGGGAGACAAGTGTGGTGCTGGGGGACACGTGTGGTGCTGGGGAACACGTGTGGTGCTGGGGGACACGTGTGGTGCTGGGGAACACGTGTGGTGCTGGGGGACACGTGTGGTGCTGGGGAACAAGTGTGATGGGGGGAGATGTGGTGCTGGGGACACGTGTGGTGCTGGGGAACACGTGTGGTGCTGGAGACAAGTGTGATGGTGGGAGACAAGTGTGGTGCTGGGGGACGTGTGGTGCTGGGGACACGTGTGGTGCTGGGGGACACGTGTGGTGCTGCGGGACACGTGTGGTGCTGGGGACACGTGTGGTGCTGGGGAACACGTGTGGTGCTGGGAAACAAGTGTGGTGCTAGGGGACGTGTGGTGCTGGGGAGACAAGTGTGGGGCGTGTGGGGGACACGTGTGGGTGCTGGGGGACACGTGTGGTGCTGGGGACGTGGTGCTGCATGACAGTGTGGTGCTGGGGACACGTGTGGTGCTGGGAGATACGTGTGGTGCTGGGGGACAAAATGGTGCTGGACACGTGGTGAGGTGTGGGGACACGTGTGGTGCGTGTGGTGCTGGGAGATAAGTGTGGTGCTGGTGGGACACGTGTGGTGCTGGGGGACGTGTGGTGCTCAGGGACACGCGTGGTGCTGGGGACACGTGTGGTACTGAAGGACACATGTGGTGCTGGGGGACACGTGTGGTGCTGGGACACGTGGTGCTGGGGACACGTGTGTGCTGGGGAGGACACGTGTGGTGCTAATAATAATAATAATAATAATTAACGGTTTTTGAAAGAGGCAGCAAGAAGGCTGAAATATACAGTTACATATTTGGGGACATCGTGTGGTGACAGGGACACATGTGGTGCTGGGGACACGTGTGGTGCTGGTGCTGGGGACACGTGTGGTGCTGGGGGGCACAGTGTGTGGTGCTGACACGTGTGGTGTTGGGGACACGTGTGGTGCTGGGGGACACTGGTGCTGTGGGGCTGGGGACCCGTGTGGTGCTGGGGCGTGTGGTGCTGGGGACACGTGTGGTGCTGGGGGACACGTGTGGTGCTGGGGACGCGTGTGATGCTGGGGACACGTGTGGTGCTGGAGGACACGTGTGGTGCTGGGGACACGTGTGGTGTGTGGGGGACACGTGGTCTGGGGACGTGTGGTGCTGGGGGACACGTGTGGTGCTGGGGGGACACGTGTGGTGTGGGGACACGCTGGTGTGGAGGTGTGGTGCTGGGACACGTGTGGTGCTGGGGGACACGTGTGGTGCTGGAGGACACGGGGACACGTGTGGTGCTGGGACGTGTGTGGTGGGGGACACGTGTGGTGCTGGAGGACACGTGTGGTGCTGGGGACACGTGTGGTGTGGGGACACGTGTGTGGTGGTGGGGACACGTGTGGAGGGCGTGTGGTGCTGGAGGGGACACGTGTGGTGCTGGAGGACACGTGTGGTGCTGGGACACGTGTGGTGCTGGAGGACACGTGCTGGGGACGTGTGGTGCTGGAGGACACGTGTGGGCTGGGGGGACATGTGTGGTGCTGGAGGGACACGTATATGTGGTGGGACACGTGTGGTGCTGGGAAGGACACGTGTGGTGCTGGAAGGACACGTGTGGTGCTGGAGGACACGTGTGGTGCTGGAGGACAGGCACTGGAGGACACGTGTGGTGCTGGAGGGACACGTGTGTGGAGGTGCTGGAGGACACGTGTGGTGCTGGGGGACACGTATGGTGTGGGGGACACGTGTGGTGCTGGAGGACACGTGTGGTGCTTGGTATCAACTCGTATTCTTATTATTGATGAATATGTATATTATTCCCTAAATTCTGGCTCCTGAGACGTAGGTCAACTCGTATCGTCCTCGGCACGTGTTAATGACCCAAGCTATAGTTCAATAGATCCCCTGGACTGCCTGTATTTCAATTAATCCCTTCGGGGTACTTGAAATTCAGGTGATTCTCCCTGGTTGCTTAGAGTTTGGTTGATCACCCCGGGGTAATTAATGCTCAGTTGATCACCCCGGGGGTACCTAATGTTCAGTTGATCACCCCGGGGGTACTTAATGTTCAGTTGATCACCCCGGGGGTACTTAATGTTCAGTTGATCACCCCGGGGGTACTTAATGTTCAGTTGATCCCCCGGGATGATCAATGTTCAGTTGATCACCCCGGGGATGATCAATGTTCAGTTGATCACCCCGGGTGATCAATGTTCAGTTGATCACCTCGGGTGTACTTAATGTTCAGTTGATCACCCCGGGGTGATGAATGTTCAGTTGATCACCCCGGGGGTACTTAATGTTCAGTTGATCACCCGGGGTGATCAATGTTCAGTTGCTCACCCCGGGGGATCAACCACCCTTTAGGCTGGTAATTTAATCGTAACAGAAGGTAGTGTCAGGAGGCTCCTTACTGAATTATAAAATTCAAGAGGTCAGAGGTCAGGGTCACAGAGTCATAATATTCACCGTACGTTCGGCAGCCTGGTTCCTTTGCCAGTGGGTGAACATGTCGCTGCTGCCAATCGTCTGGTTGAAATTATCGCCTGACACCCGGGGAGACTGGGGACCTGCAGAGGAAATATAGATCACTTTTGGTGATGCAGGTTTAGTGTTCACGTGTTTTCGTTGCCTACCTCTGATGTAACAGGCAGGAATAGCTGTTAAAATAATGCGTTACCATTACAAACACTGGCACTTGTCGTGTAAGATCATCATTAACGAAATTAATGACCTGAACCAGTAAATAAAGCACTTAATAAGGTGGAGTCAAGAAGAAATATCACTTGCCCACAATGACTCCTGGGCCGCGGTGCTCTACAACCCTCGCATGTTCTCCACTGTAAACGAATAGATGATACTCCATCAACTTCTTTGGTAGAGGATCGTTTTATCACCTTCATTACCACTGTTATTCATAGCGGCAATAAACAGCAATCAGCAGAGTACATTACATTAATTGTTACAATCAAATACAACTACTCATTACAATCAAAATAACTCATCAAGCAATCCCTGCGGCGACGGCTGGGTGGTCCTGGCAGTAAGAATGCAGTTGACAAAACAAACCTAGGTACGCCCTCCTCCCCTACCCAGCACCTCAACACAGGGAGCGACACATCGACCTTAAATTTAGAAGGAAAACACGATTTGATGTTTATCTGGAATAGCATGATGGTGCCGACGATAAGGTGATGTTGTGGCGCGGCGGAGGCAAGGTGAAGGCCAGGGGGGTGGTGGCGGCCCGCTGAGTCGCGCGGCCACAGTAATTACTACACCATGACGCAGCGCCGCCACCACCGCCGCCACCAGCTAGCACCACTAACATTACTACTACTACTACCACCACCACTACAACCACTATCACCACCACTACAACTACCAGCATCACCACTACCATCAAATTACTCAAACAAGGGTAAACAAAACAAGACATCTGCAAACAAGTTATCTATTAAATTATTCCAAACAATTCAATGACACAGTCGGAATGAAAGAACAAGATGTTAACTGAAGTAGAATCTCGATAAAACAAGTGAGTAAGAGAGAGAAAACGTGATATATGTCAGAAGTAAAGAAATCGCAAGGAGAATCACGCACACACACACAAAGGCAGGACAAACACAGAGTCATTGTCGACGAGAAAGAAAGAAAGATGGAAAGTTATACTGAAAAGACTTGTTTATACATTCAGCTATAACTAATTGAAAGTCCCTCGTCTAATGTTAATGAAAGGTCAACTTGGGTCAGATTTTCGTCAGTGTTATTATTGACCTTTTACAGAAAATGGATAATAAATAAATAAAATAAAATGGTAGTATAAATTTAATTACTTGATGATCTTTTCGAGCATTTGGTCTCCAGTGACGTCAATAGGTTATATTTGACGCCATAATGTTTTTTTAAGGCAGGTAAATCTACACCTGTATAGTAACGGTTTTAAATTGTCCTTCAGAACATTAGAACCTAATTCTATAAAGGAATTAAGCAATATAACTTATAAAGAGCATAGCAAAAAAGTCATATAATATAGGCCTAAGACATGTACTGACTCTGGTAGTTTCCCAAGTCTTCTATTCTTCATAATTTATTTTCCCAAGAAGTAATGAATTAGTGTAAATACTTTATAAACATTTTGGTGATTTTTACGGTCATTTGGATGTTGTTGATCACTTCAGGAGTGTGTTTATATTTCTCATTTAAACCGAGAAGAAAAGTTTACATGTTTCATAATCTTATTCATGTGAAATTATGTAACTTATATTCCAAATCAATTGTTATCTATAAGTTATAAAAGATGATAGGTTTCATATTCTATAATAGAATAACAAATCACATGGAGAAAAATAATCAAAGCTTTATAATTCTTGTAAATCAGTTTATTATAGGACCGACATCTAACAGGTTTACTTCACAGGTCAGATAGACATTCATACAACTGCTGTTTTTTTTAGTATTTTAAGTATATGGGTAAAGCCAACAGTGATTAGTTTGTTTAGGTCACAAGACATTCAGTTATGGTGGGATTCTTTGCTTCAATTATTATATATACAGGTTGTAATATCTCTCTCTCTGCTCCTACCTACATATAACACCTTCCTTTAATAACACTGTACCTCTACCTTCCTTCTCCTTCCTTTCAATTCTCCTCCACCCTACAGTAACATAACACCTCCCTCCTCCACCCTACAGTAACATAACACCTCCCTCCTCCACCCTACAGTAACATAACACCTCCCTCCTCCACCCTACAGTAACATAACACCTCCCTCCTCCACCCTACAGTAGCATAACACCTCCTCCTCCTCCACCCCTACAGTAACACAACACCTCCCTCCTCCACCCCTACAGTAACACACACACTAACACCCCTCCTCCTCCACCCTACAGTAACTCCTCCTCCCTACAGTAACACAACACCTCCCCTCCTCCACCCCTACAGTAACACCCTACAGTAACACACTCCTCCACCCTACAGTAACACAACACTCCCTCCTCCACCCTACAGTAACACCTCTCCTCCTCCACCCCTACAGTAACACAACATCCCTCCTCCACAACCTCCTCCTCCTCCACCCTACAGTAACATAACACCTCCTCCTCCTCCACCCTACAGTAACACCTCCTCCTCCTCCACCCTACAGTAACACAACACTCCCTCCTCCTCCCCCCTACAGTAACACAACACCTCCCTCCTCCTCCACCCCTACAGTAACATAACACCTCCCTCCTCCTCCACCCTACAGTAACAGTAACACAACACTCCCTCCTCCTCCACCCACAGTAACACAACACCTCCCTCCTCCACCCTACAGTAACAGTAACACACAACACCTCCCTCCTCCACCTACAGTAACACCCCTCCTCCACCCTACAGTAACATCCTCCTCCACCCTACAGTAACACAACACCTCCCTCCCTCCACCCTCCAACCCTACAGTAACACAACACAACACCTCCTCCTCCTCCACCCTACAGTAACACAACACTCCTCCTCCACCCTACAGTAACACAACACCTCCCTCCTCCTCCACCCTACAGTAACACAACACCTCCCTCCTCCTCCACCCTACTAACACCTCCCTCCTCCTCCACCCCTACAGTAACACAACACCTCCTCCTCCTCCACCCTACAGTAACACAACAACACAACACCTCCCTCCTCCTCCACCCTACAGTAACACAACACCTCCTCCTCCATCCTACACAACCCCTCCTCCTCCTCCACCCCTACAGTAACGCACCTCCCTCCTCCTCCCCCACAGTAACACACCTCCCTCCTCCTCCACCCCTACAGTAACACAACACCTCCCTCCTCCTCCCACCCTACAGTAACACAAGACCTCCTCCTCCTCCACCCCTCCACTCCCTCCTCCTCCACCCTACAGTAACAACACCTCCCTCCTCCTCCACCCTACAGTAACACAACACCTCCCTCCTCCCTCCCCTCCTACAGTACAGTAACACAACACCTCCCTCCTCCTCCACCCTACAGTAACACACACCTCCCTCCTCCTCCCCCTACAGTAACATAACACCTCCCTCCTCCTCCACCCTACAGTAACACAACACCTCCCTCCTCCTCCACCCCTACAGTAACACAACACCTCCCTCCTCCTCCACCCTACAGTAACACCACCTACACAGTCCAACACCACCTCCCTCCTCCTCCACCCTACAGTCCACACCTCCCTCCTCCTCCACCTCCACACAACAGTAACACAACACCTCCCTCCTCCTCCACCCCTACAGTAACACAACAACACAACACCTCCTCCTCCTCCACCCCTACAGTAACACAACACCCCCCTCCTCCTCCCCACCCTACAGTAACACAACACCTCCCTCCTCCTCCCCCTGCAACACAACACCTCCTCCTCCTCCACCCTACAGTAACACCTCCCTCCTCCTCCTCCCCCCTACAGTAACACAACCTCCCTCCTCCTCCCTCCCCTACAGTAACACACTCCTTCCTCCCCTACAGTAACACAACACCTCCCTCCTCCTCCCCTACCACAACACCTCCCTCCTCCTCCCACAGTAACACAACACCTCCTCCTCCTCCACCCACACCTCCCCCCCTCCTCCTCCACCCCTACAGTAACACAACACCTCCTCCTCCCTCCACCTCCCTCCTCCTCCACCCTACAGTAACACAACACCTCCTCCTCCTCCCCCCCTACAGTAACTAGCACCTCCCCTCCTCCTCCACCCTACAGTAACACAACACCTCCTCCTCCTCACCTACAGTAACACAACACCTCCCTCCTCCTCCACCCTACAGTAACACAGCAGGACCCTCCTCCCCCTCCGTCAGCACACAGACCCTGTGATCAGCTCCACGCCCATCGCCCCACAAAGGAGCTCTGAAAAGCATCACCTTCAATTTGCCACACGGATTTCACGCCTGGTGAAAGAACTGTTCACAACCGAGAGCCCTTTGAGAGGATTTTCAGGTGGTGTGTAGGAACCTATTTTGTGGCACAATGAGCGTATTTGTTCACCCACGCCTTGTAATCAGCCGCGGTCATGCCCCTGAGAGACACGGGTTTTGTCTTGGCGAAAATAATAAGGTTTAGTTTGCGTTGTTTTAGCAAAACTTGTATGGGGTGGATGTGGCCGTCGAGGGGAGGAGGGGCGACGATGACGAGGCGAGGAGCTCACGTCGACGACAGGGTCGGCGAGGTGGATGGGGAAGCCTTGAGGCCAACCTTCCCTCACCTGCTGGCCGACGTATTATTCCCCGATAATTTACTGCTTTCAGAAACATTAAGGAACTGCACACCACTTGAACACGTGACTTCCGCCTTCTTCTGAGAATACTCGTCGTAGGTAATTATTTGAAGCTGCGGGAAGCGATCAATCAATGTTTTCCAGAGGGACGTTCATCCTCCCAAACGCGTGATATCAGTAATTACAGCGAATGAGCGGTGTGTGTGGAACAATGTGCAGGTGTGTCAACTCTCCCTCCTGCCAGTGGCCAGCCAGCACCAGCAACCGAGTGGGAGCTCGACCAGCGCCCTGTGGTACGCCGGTAGCCTAATTCGATTTACGCAAGTTGCTGACTCAGGAATCCATAATTAAGCGACGGGCAAAAATTCGATATCAAATTATGTGAGGTGAATTTGTGATAGCGAGACAATAGGCGGGTCATCGCGACCGGCCCAGGGTGTGAAAGCCTCGTGAGCGACTCGTTGCCCAAGTAACGATTTAATAATGATGCGGCGCGTTCCTCTACCTACCTGGCCAGGTAACTTAAGTCTGGGCCATACGTTCCTCTACCTACCTGGCCAGGTAACTTAAGTCTGGGCCACACGTTCCTTTACCTACCTGGCCAGGTAACTTAAGTCTAGGGCCACACGTTCCTCTACCTACCTGGCCAGGTAACTTAGGTCTGGGGCCACACGTTCCTCTACCTGGCCAAGTACCCTCGGGTCTAGGCCAAACTTGGTCATGATCGCATTATGATAACCAAGAGTTTCCCATTGTTGTATCTTGTTGCCGTGTTATCGTTGCCTTCTGGTTATCTTGACTTACTTACACCGTCTTTGTGTACGTCGTCGTCTGCTTCATCTTAAGGACACTTCTCTTTTGTTTATATTTTAAAGGCGTTTTGAGCTTTTGATGTCGTCGCTATTTTTGTTTATCTCTGAGGCTCTCTGATGATGTTTACTCTCGTTGTATTTCCCCCTCTCCTCTCTCTCTCTCTCTCTCTCTCTCTCTCTCTCTCTCTCTCTCTCTCTCTCTCTCTCTTCTACATCTTACGAAAGGGTTAGCCACGAGGAACGAGAAACAGGCATCTCTTTCGTCTAATTTTATCAAGAAATCTCAATCATTATATTTTATTACTTCACCTGGAGTTAAAATTGACGTTCTCTCGGCCGCTTGAGACGAGAAAACACAAAAACGGAATTCAATGTTATGTTTTTTTGTCCAAATGTGTAATAGAGGCTTTTTATTGCTGTTGTTGTTATTATTGTGTCATTGTTATTATTTAGGTTCTGGTTATTGATATTTTTATTATTATTATTATTATTATTATTATTATTATTATTATTATTATTATTATTATTAATATTATTATTATTATTATTATTATCGTTATTACTGTTTTAATTGTTGTTATTGTTGTTATTTATCATTGCAGGATAAAGAAAAGAAACCGGAAGAACATAAGAAGAAAGACTTAAAGCAACTGATGATTGTAACAACAGAGAGAGAGAGGAGGAATGAGAAACAAAATCAGAAGGAGAAAAAACTAATGATGAAGGAAGACAAATCTGAGGAAGGTAAGGAATAAAAATAAGGAGTCTCAGGTGTGGTGGAGTTAACAGTCAGGTAATTTAACAAAAACAGGTGAAAAAGTGATGAAATTGATGACAGGTGTAGATTGGTTATATATGACAGGAGGGGATGCCAGGAATTGATGCTTGGGGATAGTGCCAGGAATTGATGGTTGGGGATAGTGCCAGGAATTGATGGTTGGGGATAGTGCCAGGAATTGATGGTTGGGGATAGTGCCAGGAATTGGTGGTTGGGGATGGTATTGATGTTGGGGATAGTGCCAGGAATTGATGGTTGGGGATAGTGCCAGGAATTGATGGTTGGGGATAGTGCCAGGAATTGATGGTTGGGGATAGTGCCAGGAATTGGTGGTTGGGGATAGTGCCAGGAATTGATGGTTGGGGATAGTGCCAGGAATTGATGGTTGGGGATAGTGCCAGGAATTGATGACATAGAAGATAGTGCCAGGAATTGATGACTTGGTGGAGAGTGCCAAGAATTGATGGCATGGTGAACAGTGTCAAGAATTGATGACAGGAGGGGAGAGTGCCAAGAATTTATGACATAAAAGATAGTGCCAAGAATTGATGAAAGAAATGGATAGATTATGCATGACGGGGGGAGGGGGGGGGGGTGAGATGATAGTGCCATGAGAATGATAAGAGAGCTGTGTAGATCCTAAATGAAAGAGAAGAATGACTTAGAACGATTTGAAACATTTGCTTGTAAAGAAAAGAAAATATAAAACTTGTACCTATATCGAAAGTCGTAAATAAGACTATTTTTTATAAAGGTATTGATAAAAAAAAATCTATAAAATGGGTAAAAACGCGATTTTATTTTTTAGCTTTTAGAGGAAATTTCGTTAAAATAATGACCCGCTAAATATTTCCAGCTCTAGGCCTGAACTGTGACGTCATCAGAGGTATTCGTGAATGGTTGAGGGTTAGAGCAAGAGTTTCAGTTATTCAAGTGAGTCAAGAGTGAATTAGACTTATTTTCAAGAATCATTTAAAACAGTCATGAATGAATTATGGCTATTTACAAGTCATGCAAGAATTATAGTTATTTAAAGTCATAAATTAATTATTGTTATTTACAAGTCATGAATCAATTACAGCTATTTACAAGTCATGCAAGAATTATAGTTATTTACAAAAGTCATGCAAGAATTATAGTCATTTACAATAGTCATGCAAGAATTATAGTTATTTACAATAGTCATGCAATACTATGAGTTTGTTTACAAAAGTCATGCAAGAATTATAGTTATTTACAATAGTCATGCAAGAATTATAGTTATTTACAATAGTCATGCAAGAATTATAGTTATTTACAATAGTCATGCAAGAATTATAGTTATTTACAATAGTCATGCAAGAATTATAGTTATTTACAATAGTCATGCAAGAATTATAGTTATTTACAATAGTCATGCAAGAATTATAGTTATTTACAATAGTCATGCAAGAATATAAGTTTGTTTACGATAGTCACTTAAGACGATAAAAACCACGACGGTCAACGCTGGTAAGACTTATAAGAGTCATCGTACTTCATAATGTGAGCTTGTTATTCTTATATGTAGCTTCCGTGTTACGTCATTGGCCAGTTTGTTATTGTAATCTAAACAGTTGATTAGTTCAGCCATCATCTAGGTATGACTCCCCTCCCCTCGTCCTTTTCCCCTTCCCCCCCCTCTCCTCTCTCCCTTTCTCCTCCCTTTTTCCTCTTTGATTGAGTGCTGGAGCTGATATTTTCTTGTTTTTGTTTTGAAGGTGGGTGGGGGAGAGGAAAGATAGAATGGTAGGGAAGGAGGGAGGAAGGAGAGGAAAGGGAGATATGATGGTAGATAGGTAATGGGTAAAGAGGAGATATGATAGATAGGGAATGAGGGGTAGGTAATGGGTAGTAGGAGGAGGAGAAGAGATAGGGTAATGGAATGGGGAGGAAAAGGAGGATATGATGGTAGATAGATAGTAATGGTAGATATATCAGTATGGGGGAAAGGAAGAAGGAAGGAGGAAAAGGAGAATCCTGATGGAGGCGGAGAGACACACACACACACGATATACTAGGATATACCAGGATATATCTCGTATTATAGCAGGATATACCAGGACCATAATACCAGGATATATACCAGTATTCTACCCCCCTGGGTTTGAAAGAAGAAGAGAAGGAGGAAGAGGAAGAATGATGAGGAGGAGGAGGGAAGAAAGAGGAGGGTGGAGGAGAAGCTAGGAGGAGGTGAAAGAAGTAGAAGAGGATCAGGAAGGAGAGTTGAGGAGGGGGAAGAGGAGCAACAGGAAAATTAGCAGAATGATGAATAGAAGGAGGTGGAGGGAAGAGGGAGAGGAACAGGAAGAAGTAGAAGAGAAACAACAGGAGAAGGAAGGAAGAGGGAGAGTAGAAAGAGGAGCAAGAGGAAGCAGAAGAGAAGCACCAGGAGGAGGAGTAGTAGTAGCAAAATGATGAATAGGAGAAGGGAAGAGGGAGAGGAGTAGAAAAAAGGGAAGGAAGAGGAGTAGAAAGAGAAAGGAAGAGGAATGGAAGGAGGAAGGAAGAGGAATAGAAGGAATGAAGGAAGGAATAGAAGGAGGGACGGAAAGGAATAGAAGGAATGAAGGAAGGAATAAAAGGAGGGACGGAAGAGGAATAGAGGGCAGGAAGGAAGTAATAAAAGGAAGTAAGTAATAGAAGGAAAGAAGTAGTAGAAGGAAGGAAGGAAGGAAGAGGAGTAGTAGAAGGAGGAAGGAGGGACGCCAGCCACTACACACGACCCAGCAATGAGTTATCCTTGAGTAAATAAACAAGGAGGTACACTATGTATTGCCGCAGTCAACCATGACATGATTTACAACACAAGCCGCGAGGAGGAGACGAGGAGACGAGGAAGAATGAAGGAGAAGACGTAGGAGAGGAAGAAGAATGAAGGAGAAGACGTAGAAGAAGCAGAAACATAGAAGGAGGAGGAGGAGAAGACGAGGAAGACGAACAAGAATGAAGGAGAAGACGTAGGAGAAGAAGAAAAATGAAGGAGAAGACGTAGAAGAAGCAGAAACATAGAAGGAGGAGGAGGAGAAGACGAGGAAGACGAACAAGAATGAAGGAGAAGACGTAGGAGAAGAAGAAGAATGAAGGAGAAGACGTAAGAGAAGAAGAAAAAGAAAACATAGAAGAAGGAGGAGAAGAAGACACAGAAGAAGAGTACAAAGATAACAAGAAGAAGAAATAGAACAACAATAACAAAACGACCACGAAGAGGATTACAAAGGAAAATGAACAATAATAAAAAAAAGGAAGAAAAACAAAAAAAGAAGGCGAAGAAGAGGAAGAAGACATAAAGCAAGAACAAGAAGACGAAGAACAAATATCAAACAGGTTTTATGATAATGTGGTGGTGGCGGGGAGGGAGGCGGGGGAGGGGGTTGAAATTGATGGCTGGTGGCTGAGGCAATATCTCTACTTGGTATATTAGCCAGTGGTCAGGTGAGGAAGCTGGATGGATTGAGTAATAGATAGATGGATGGATGGATAGATAGATGGGAAAGTTATAAAACCTAAACTAACTATAACACTATCCCAGGCTATATCGTCATTGTACTGAACGATATATAATGACTCTGATGCTTGAAGCTATTAACAATCAATGTCAGGAGGGAGATTGTGAGCATTAATTATCATATCATGAGCTGGTTAACTACTGAGCTATTGTGCTGACTACTGTGCATTATGGCTATTGTGAACGATACTCCTAAGGACGATACTCCAGACGATACTCCAAATATGATACTCCAAATACGATACTTCAAATACGATACTCCAAATACGATACTCCAAGCACGATACTCCAAATACGATAATCCAAATACGATACTCCAAATACGATACTCCAAATACGATACTCCAAATACGATACCCCAAATACGATACCCCAAATACGATACCCCAAATACGATACTCCAAATACGATACTCCAAATACGATACTCCAAATACGATACTCCAAATACAATACTTCAAGGTAAAAAAAAAGTACCTGAAATTAACTCGGTATTATGAGTCTTTAATAAACGATATACTTACCTGTCTCATCCGTAACTACCTGTAATATGTATATATAAATACCTTCCAGTACCGACTTTTACTGCAGGATACCATGAACTAGG